GTACCAACCAAAGTTTGAGGGGGGGGGTGGTAGGAAACTTCTTTGATTTTATGACCTACTTTAACTTAGTTTTAAATGTTACTTTAAATGTATTTTCAAGTGACCCCATTTAAATAATGCCATGGCATATTCTCAACGCTTCTCTTTAACTCTATCTGAATAACTTGATTAGCTAGGAAAAATATTGTCTATCTTGGAATGTCTTGAAATTTTCTTCTGACCATTAGCCTTTCGTTTGCACAAAATCCGCACATGTTCCTTTTGCCTGAGTATCCACAATTAAAATTAATCAAAATTCCCACTGGTAACTTCAAATTCAACTACATCTAAATCAGGCGCGCATTATATGATGTAGCTAATTTTACTACTTGGGTTTATCACTGACACCAGTTTAATTTGTTTTATTGTTATTCTCAAACCTTGTTTCGGAAAATTCCGAAATGATTTTTTCCAAAAATTTCGGAAACAGTATTTCCAGTTAAAGAGGAAAAAATCGTTCCGGAACCTTTTTCGTATACAATGGAAATGGAAAAAAATTCAGGATCATTTCCGTACATAAACCACAACCCGTAATTCCGGAAAACTCTTAATTTATAGTTTACAATATCAATGGTCTATCAGTTTAGATAGATAAAGGAATTAGAAAAACAGATTTGTGGCAAAAAATCAATTCCTTTTGCTAGGTGAAGTTAGACATTTGGCTACCTTCCACATTTCAATGGGCCGCCCTGTAATATTTCTGGTAATTTAACATTTCCATTTTTTGTAAATTTAATATTCTAAAATTGTTTCAGAAAATTAGGAAAAGTTTGCGTTTCCAGAGACATTTTATTTTAAACTTTTGAAGCTTTTGTTTCAAGTATTGCGGAAATAATTTTGCGGATATAAAACAAGTTAGTTTGCACCTCCTTATGTAAATCCGCAAAATATTTAAATTTTTGTTTTATCGAAGAAGAAATGCAAAAAGATTGAGCAACATTAAAATTGTTAAATAGATTGCTGATAGCCTAGTTTAAATACCAGTCAGCTAAAATTTGTCTTTACAAGCTTTTTTTACAACAACTTTGTTATTCTTTTTTATTTTTATTTCTTGCAAAAACTATTTACGCAGGCAGCTATATGTATGTATATAGATATTTGGAGTATAAAGTGCCAAACGCAATTTCTTTTTAAAGCTTTGTTTCTCTTAATTTAAGAATGGGAAATGTTTATAAAATCATTTATTATTAATTATTTTGCTGTTGGTTACTTATCACACAATAATATCACACCAGACTAACCAGAGTGAGCAGCATTCGGTTCCTTCTATTTGAAATCAAAAGTTTTTTGGTCTATAATTCAATAATCATTTACTTTACGGATTTGTTTATTTTATACATTTTCATTCAACATGCATATGCCAACAAAAAAATATTTAAGAAATAAGGCTAACAAATTATGTTTAATGGGTCAAATTGGGATCGAAAGTCAAAGCTTTCTGTAATATTGACAGAACCGTTAAATTCACGTGATATAAAGTTTTAGCGTGGATTGATAAAAGTCATCAATTCTTCTTTAAAATAATAAAAAAAATAAAAAATAAAACAATTTGTTTTCTGTAGTTGATAGGAAAAATGAAAATGTTTCATAAATGTTGAAAAATTAATTGTTATTATAGAATAACTTTTATGTTGTGAAACTTAGGATCAATTGATCTCCATTTTATGCAGACTTAATTTAACTCCTCGTTGAACAAGACTTCAAACTAAATTAGCAAAACTGATTAAATCCAATATCTTGAAGGAATATGAATTATCGTCCAGCTCACGTGGATTCAGTTTGTGGACACGGCTCGGGTTCTGCATATATATATATATTTATGAAACTGTAAGTTTAATTTCAAGTGGACCTCCATGCAAATATGACAATGCCCAGTTAACAACAGTATTCTTGAATCCTGATCAAAATTGTCCTTTTTAAAGTTTAAAAGTGTTTATTTCTGATAATTCCTTTATGCACTAAAAGTATTTTTGGAGAGAAACCACAATTAATAATTAATTAAAAATAACCAGTTTTCCAAAAGTAATTCATACTTTATGAGACAACGCTGTTTAGGGTGCTGTTGTGAATCGGGCACTGTCATCTCTGCATGGAGGGTCAACAGACGTTATGCTTCTAATCCCTGTAAACTTCAGTATTTTAGTCCAATGAGATATCTTGAAGGAGATTGAAGAATAAAGACTGAGACAACCCTTCCCGGTCAACCTAGAATACCTTACAGTTAAAAGGTTATAGGGGCACTATGTAATTTTCAAATGTGCAAATTTCGAGTAGAGTTGAGAATGCATACATTTAATCCTCTTTCNTATAAGGGGTGGGGGTGGGGGGTCTGAATTTCAACATTAGTTCATTTGAAATAAAACTAAAAATATATTGATCTAAAGTTAATTTATCCTGGCTTTCAAATTCCAAATTGAAGAAAAACCATTTCGTGGCAATGTTTAAAATACAATAATACAAATCATGAAACCTTGAAAATTTAAATTTCTTTATGAATGAACCTGTTGTAATAATAATAATAATTTTACCTTTGCTATCTGCTGAATATCTTTTTCAATATCAGCCATTTTCTGTTCGATATAGATAGGTATGTTTCGGTTCAGTCTTAAGTCTGTATATATTTCTTGAACCCTAAATAGTTTTACTTAGATATTACTTCTCCTAAACTAAATGTTAAGCTTTTTGGATGTATTTTTGCAACATTTTTGTCACGGCATTTTATTTTACAAATGCCTCAAGGAACTAATAATTCTTCTCATACAGTCATAGTCGTGTGTATCATTGCAATGAAGACGACTTTTTATTTGAATTTTGACTTCTACCAACCTTTCAAAGAGCAAAGATACATAAACACGTAAACAAAGAAAATTTGCAATTAAACGCTTCTCTTTGTTTACAAGTAAACTTGCAATTTGAAAACGCTTGTCAGAGATCAAGCATTATTAATAAAAAGTCGTCTTCATTGTCATTATATAAACGCCGACCATTGTACTATAATTGTATCATTTTTTAACAGTGCAACCTGAGATCAGACCTTCATTATTTTAACACTATCACGGTTTTTTTCTTTTTCTTTCATAATTTTAAGAACGCTTAAACTTCACCTTTTTAATTCTATAGTTGTTAACAAATTTATCAAAAACATTTTTTTATGCATAAAGCGTAGGGTGGAGGACGGTCAACCGGAGCCTGCTCGGCGTTTACATATATATGAAAGCTTTTTTATTCATTAAGCTGTTAAATTTTAAAAAGCCCTTGTTAGGAATATAAATTAAAATTTAACATTTTTCCGACGTACTGTTTTTTATTTTTAAAGTAGGAGAAGGGACATGTATCACATGATAGCCGGACGTTTCACCTTTTTGTCTTGGCGGCAAATTACTGAAACTGCAGTCAGGGCTGCTTTTTTAATACAACATAATTTCTTCAATATTAGTGTTCATACGAAATGAACTAAACATTCTAGTAATGAAGAACACTAATAATTTGACCGAAAAATTAATTATTTATTATTTGTATAAGATAATTTGAATTGGATACATCAACCGAATTTACAATTAGTTTAAATCGTGTATTTCTTTCAAGAAATCTTGCCGAATGAGCTGGTTTCGAATCAGTGTAGGTTTTATCTTTGAGCTCTTTAAAAAGTAGTAATAAGAATCGTTTAATACGTTTGAAGAAAGGGTGTAGGCCACCAACATGTGTTTTCCTTAACTAACTGAGAGAAACTGAATGAATTTTTTTAAGTTACGTATTTTCTAAAAAATAATTGAGAAATTCGTTTTAAAAATGTTAATTTAATACTTCCTTCATGGGGAAAATGCCGTTTTTCCTTCAATTAGTTTAAATCGTTTGGGAAGTTGCCACTTGGAAAATTATCACTTGGGAAAATGCCTTTGGGAAAGTACCTAACATCGTATACAGTACATATCCAATTTAAAACATTATTTGGCCTAGGAATGTTTTTGATTTTTTTGATTTTTGATTTTTTGATTTTTTGTGGATATTTTTTTTTAAATATGCATGGCTCGGCAAACCCTATCCCAACATAAAATATGTTAGTTTCAGCAAGTTACAACAACTGTAAAATCAAGCATTTGCCGCCAAGACAAGAAGGTGAAACGTCCGGCTATCGTATCACATCACGCTCTCCTCTCAACTCTATAACAGGGATCAATTAGAGGAGGGGGATGAGGGTGGGGTCTGTCCTAGTGAACGATTTTAGGAACAGTAACATTACAGTAAAATTACAGTAATGGTTGCATAACACTCAGAAATACCTATTGACGATTCGTCTGTCGACGAGTAAGATCTGTGTCGAGCTCGGAACTTAGTTGTGTCGCCAATTGAGTCCGGAGACTTCTTTCTGAGGGGGCTTTTGATGCAGTTTTCTGCAGATTGTTAAAATTCCACGGGCAACGTCGGGGACTTTAATTACCTTGCCACACTCTCCTGGTCAGATTTTCCGTAGCAAAGTTCTAGATCTCTTAACTGTGCAGGGGAACCTCGCTGTAATAGAAAATATTTAGAAAGAGATTGTTAAAGGGACTGTATGTGGAATTTCAAGCGACCTCTCATCTCTAAATGGAAGGTCACTTGAAATTACGCTGACAGCCCTTTTATTAAATTCAAGCTTGCTGTTTTACAAAGGCGATCCTTTATCTGAGAAACGGTGGCATAACAACGTTTCTCTTTATTTGGCCAGTCCGATTCACA